TTATAAGTAGTACCAGGATCGTCGATTGGTAATATTGGTTGATATTATATTATCTCCATATCTTTACTGATTATTAATTGTAGTGTAAGATGTTAAATTATTAATAACATTTTTTTGTTTAAAGTTAAATACAATATCATACTTTTGTAGTTTTCATTAATTATAAAACAAATGAATCAGGGACTTTCATTTTTAAATAAACATTGCTTTTATTATTAAGAAGTATAACTTACTGTACATTGTACGTCATCTTAGACATAATTTTCTTTACAAGTAGTAACGAAGTTTTTGATTGTACTCTTCATATTGTGACTGACAGATGAGACAACAATAGAAAATAAAAATAAAAAATATGTAAAAATGTAAAATAAATAATAATGATGAGACAGTGTAAAATAATTTAGATTTTAATTGTATCTGTATGAAATAGTCATTATGTGTATTTAATTATTAGCACTGATCAAATTCTGTGGTCCTTTCATATCGATCTACATAAATTCATATTTTGAATTGCGTCTATTAAAATAATATGTGTATATTACTATATTATATTATGAAACTTACATTCTTAATGGATAATTTAAGATTGGTCGAGAGTTAGTAAAATTGTTAAAGTCAGCAAAAATGTCGATAAATGTTGTCATATGTCTACAGTGAGTTCGGTTAACCGCACAAAAGTAAATTGTATCATTAGTATAATTTAATAATTTATTGCATTAATTGTTTTAACTGTGTTGGGTATCACGGGGATAGATGAGAGCATATACTTCTGACAGTGGCGTATTTATGGGTTAAAAATAACATATAAACCGCCAAGGCCATTACATTTTTTATTTTTTATGAAAACTCGATAAATAATTATGCAATGATTTGTTAAGACATTCTTAGTAATTTAATCTTTAGTTGTAGGCATTTGAAATTTGAAATTTTTGTTAAGTTTGTTTTTGGCTTATGTCTGATAACATTTTTATAATTCTCAGTAATAAGGCTTAAAAATATTATAGAGTTTATCTCATTAGTTGTTTTGTTATTTTTGTAAGCGCTTAAACTGTTCAAATTTTTCACGAAATCGTACACTTATTAAAATAAAGATTTTTCTCCAATGTAATAATTTAAAAAATATTAATCGTAGAGATAGTTGAAACTTTTCAACGCTATGTGTGTAAATACAACGTATATTAAATGAAAGTTTTTATTGTGTAAATAATATTTTGACTGATTTCAACCTATTTATTCTACGACCTTTTTTACACCATTTTCAGATACATTGATATTGTATTATAATTTATAAGTTACACGTTACCTATATTATTATTAAATGCTTTGTTTTTGTCAAAGATATGTTCAAGTGGTATGAAAGCTTATGTAACTTTTACTAAATATTCAACTGTACCTATTGATAAGCTATTTTCAATAATTCAAAAAACATATTCAAACATCCCACCAAATTAAGAAAATAAAAATATAAATATAAAATATCTCTTACAAATGCCGAATCACTCATCGCATCTTTCACACATAATTGTTTTTTTTTCGATTCAATGATTCTTTATTGAATTCAAATTTGCCACATGCATTTTAGTGACTAACCAATGACGTGCTACACTCAAAACCTTCAATTCAACAGAATGAGTTCTCAGGTATTTCAAATAATTATGAAATATTGGTGTGCCTTTCAATAACAAGCAAAACTGAGTACATTATTACTACGTTAGTATTATTGGGTCAATCAAGGATGGCATTGTATGATACAAGTGTCGTAATTTTAAATGTTAAAATGGGATTTCAACGAAAATGTATTGACAGCATTTATCAATGAGAATACCTACATAAAATATAATACTTTCAGTATGAATTGGTGAACCTTTCTCGTATTTATGTAAGTACTATGTTTGTTTATTATATTTTTTTTTCACATTCATTTGAATCGTATTCGACCACAAAAAGTAAATTTCAGTTTGTCACTATACTTACAACCCGATGATAGAAATGAATTCTCAACAATGCAAAAATTATTAAATATTTACAATACGTATTTGGAAATGACATTATACACCTCAATTTATTTCTCTATTTATGTATTCTATTATAACAGTTATTGCCATGGAAACGTGTGGTTATTGTTACGATTTTACTTTATATATAAATAAATATTTAGCTAAACATCTATAGATTTACATGATGACATATTTGCATTATATTTGTACGTATATATTTTATCTTATTTTACACGTCTGATCAAATAAGATAATTTAGTATTGGACGCCTGTAACTTCAAATTGATCGTGACACACATGTTAATGACAAATAAACATTTAAATAAAAATATTCTCATTTCATCTTGACTAGTAACATATTTATATACGTATTTGTAATTTATGAGTTTTCAATCATATAATAATAACATGAAAATAAATATTTAACGCTGCAGTGAACAGAAAACGAAATATAATGAGGTCCACACAACACACGTCATGTCCGACGTTTTACCAAATATTATTTGGAATTGACAGCGGTTGCTTATACAATATAATATAATGAGGAAAATTAAAATTCTGGGTTTATACATCATAATATTTTTTATTATACAATTAATTAATAATTATAAAAATATAAAACCATAATGAAGAAACTAAATTAAGTCAGGGATCGGAACTGAAATAATTAAAAGGACCGATATTGGTCGTATTGGTTATTATACTCTAATACTTACGATACCGGAATAAATGTTTACAGAAAAATTTAATTTAATGTTTTTTTTTTTTTATTATTTTAATTGCGATGTCTATTTCTTTTTTTTTTTTTATCGATTTTGAGGTGTCAGAATAGAATTGATAAGATAATTTAGTTTTGTATCTTAAGAATCTCTTTGAAGTGGATTCTATATATTTTTGTATTGTCATTAAAGGAACGACAAATTTAAATTTCAAATTCATACGTTTTGTCATTTTCTGAAAAAGTGAACATATAGAATTTTATTTTATTCTACTGGACAGGTGCAGTCACTGTTGTATTTTCATTTTTTGCCATACTTTTCAGGCGGCTTTTATTAAAATTGTTTTCCATACAAAGTACGAACCGTGTTACAAAACAATTAGTTTTAAATGTTTTAATTAATAAAATAAATACATAAAAAATTCATTTAAATTGATTTTACTTTAATATACACAATACATTTGAATGAACCTATATGTTTTTGTTGAAACATATTGTACCTGCGTAAATTCATTCAAGTCTTAATTTTAATAAGTAAATTTAGTGTTAGTAGATACATACCATAGTACTAAATATCAGGTATTGAAATTAATTTAATTAAATAACTTCTTTTTTTTAAGTATTAAGATATGTAAGAGTGTGTAACTATAATGATTTAAATAAGGGGAGTGGACCAGTTAGGACAATAATTTTATTCATTAAAATATAGGTACATATTGCTAAGAAAACGTTTTTTTTTTAAACTTACAGTTCATTAAATATAATAATATATTTAAATGAAGCTTCAAATAAAAACAATTCAAGTTTATCAAGTATAGACGTATCGTACCTACACCTGTCGTGTAACTTAGATTTAGGATTTTCATAATCGATTGATAAAAATATTATTACCACTTGTTGCAATAGATAATGTGGAGAAAAATAATGTGGATAATGTTGGCAACCTACAATTCGTTTGTGGGATGTATGAAGACTAAAATAGTGAGACTAAACTCATACGGCCACCCAATTGAAAAACCACCATGAAAAGTCACACAATTAAACGACCACAATATATGCTTCGTTGGCATTGGCTGCTACTAAAACCAGTGTAGTACTGTAGTAGGGTATAAGAACTATTCATATTGACTACGTTCTTTTGAAAAATATATGCAATGTTTGGTACCATGGCCCATTAAAATTGTATAGCTTGTAAATTTTTTATTGAACTTAAGCCTAAACTAAGGCCATTAGTTGTTGTAGGGGATTATGAACTATGGTCGTCACGGTAGGTAAGCAAACACGTTTATGTATGATAAGGTTTTTACTACTACGAACCGGGGTGGTCACCCACCCGGGAGCTAGTAGCAGCGGGCGTTACTTACTCTCAGTCGCATTCCGTAACTGATAGCAGGCAATGGGCCGAGCCAAGCCACAGCTTGTATAATTATGCATTCACATTTTAGTACTTTACACATAATAATATATGCCTATGTAGATATACATATTATACAGTTATGATCTCTGAAAACTTTAAAAAATATATGTTGATGATAACAATATTATTATTGTATAGTACATTAGAACCTTTCCTCTAAAAATTCTTGTAGTCACATCTATTCTCATAATATCACAAAATATCAAAACAATAAAATTAATTTGTTAAATTCAAAAGTTAACCCTGAGAGACAACTTCTCACTCTTCAATAAACCAAAACAATGGCCACTAATACCAATTTATTTAATAGTAGGAACAAGTCTATCCTAGAACAAGCGGGTTAATATAATGTTGGCTATATTTTGGGAACGTGTGATTAAAAATACTCATTACTCGGTACGATTTATCTGGTCAAGCGGCTCTGGTATAGGCCACAAAATATCAAAAAATAATGTTAATAAACAACAATATTATTAATAATAAAAAGAAGCCTGTTTATTAAAACTTACACCAGCGAGTACTTATGCACTATTACAAATAAACAATCACACAGACGCTTGAACGATATGGTTTCCACTGGCCACCTGAACGCGTGTCGAACCATAATATGAGGCACGTAGAACGAGGCTAATAATATTTTGATGCAGGCGACGGTGATTTCGATGACGAATCAATGAGATAAGACATATGAGATATTACATCTATCAGTCGTATGCAGTGCGCATTTGCGTCCATCGTCGTGCAGTTAAAAATTCGACGAAACGTTATTCGACAACGGTAATATTAACTATTAAGTAATGATCAATAATAATTATTTCGCCGTGTACGTCTCTGTTCCGGTGTTGCCTCCCGCTACCCTTAACTGGGTTTACCGGACCACCGAGTTCCACGTGATTGTGGCATCGTAATTCAGGTTGTTGCGCACGGTCACAGTGCACCACGGAGGCGTGTGCAGTGTGGTTATGCACTTTTCTCGGTACCCTCCGCTGTCCATCACCCTCATCATGCGGTCCAGCACCATTCGGTCCCAGCACACGGACCGCGAGCGGCCCCTCTGCCTCTGCCAGCCCTGCTGGCTCATAGTCAGCACCCGGAACACCATTTCCGGCGGCCCTTCGCCGTACTTTGTGGTCGCATCCGGGTCGTACACCTTGAGCACGGCCACTTGGATGCCGGCCACCATCGACCTGGCCGTCGTCCGGGCCACGCACACCCAGTAGAGCATGTTGCCGTCCTGGACGTTCCTCGTCAGGTACGTCCGGCGCATGGGGCCCTGCAGCCCAAACGTCAGATCCGGCATCAGGAACTGGTTTTCCTGCGATCACGCCGACGCTCAGTGAAATTCATACTGAACGCTTTGCGATATATTTACATAGATTTGGGGCCCAGATATCTCAATGCAAAGGTTGTTTATAATACAGGGAAAACGCATTCCAGGTTCATAATTATTATTAATTTCGTGGAACATTACAAGTGAAACTTTTATCTTGCATTTTTTTTTAGCTTTTTCTCGTCGTTTTATTAATTTTTAATGCATATTGTAATTGTTGTACGAGCTTATAGTGTTTATTAGAAAATTCGAAATTATTATCTTAACATTTGCTTCAATATTTTTTAAGCATTTTTAAACCATACCAAAGGTCAATCGTTCTATATATGAAAGCAATAACGTCTTTATCTAATCGATTATCGGATGTGGTGGCGCCAAAAGATTAGCAACTAATTGGTCAGTAGGAGATAATATATCGTGGTCGCATTTATTTCCAGTCTACTCTTTATTTATTTTGCGTTCCTAAGTTTGGTAGTTAGTTATTTTACTATTGTAAGTTTAATTAAGATAACGTATTAAATATTCCGAAAGCTACAATACCATCGTATTCCTATTAGTTGCAAAGTAGCATGCTTATTAAAAAATGTTGCTTATTTTTAAGTGCATTATTGAGGTTGAAAAGGCATTTTTAGAGCATTTTTTATTCGTTTTTAGGACATTAAGTCCGAGGTCTATATATTGTATTATAATATCGAGCGGTGGGTGATATCATGACCATGCACTCTGTGGTACTTAGGAAAACCAAAATGTATTGTCATAATATGATTTGACTTGTGTCTAGTGAGTAGTGTTCATATTTGAATTACATGTTTATTATTATTAAAACTGTACACGTGACTTTATTATCAAATATTGTTCGAGTTAAAAAGAGTATTTAAATAGTAGATATATAATATTTAATTATTGTAAGAATTAATATTGAAATATTCAAAATGTATAACAGAATTCGTATAAAAAAAATGATATCTATATTAAAGAAAATCCAAAATAAACTTTAAGTAATCAATAAAAAAAAGGATTTAAAGTACCAATACATTACTTAACGTTGAAAGTTTTTAAATAAGTATTGAATATTAAAATGAAAGTATTTGAATACTTTTACAGTTTTACTTAAATAGTTTACAACATTGTTTGTACACAACAATGTATTTTGTATTTCATGATATAATGATTGAATAATGAAAAATAAATCTCTTTTACATTTTATATTTATTATGTTTCCGAGAATCGCGCATACCTAACTCTAATATATAATATGTCTGAAAAGGTTTGGTCCGACAACTAAGTCCAACAAATTAAAATATTCTCTTTCATGTAATAGTTTGAACATAATTTGGGTAGAGCCGCGGCATACAATTTATATAATATATAACCCACCTTGGACCTTGATCACCCCTACCACCCACCGGATATAGCCGACACGATGTAACTATCGTATGGGGTGAAGGGTGGGGGGGCATGTATCACGATATAGGTACAGTAATGTGTACGTTACCATTACGTCGTAGGCGGAAAACTGGTGGTCGGAGGCGACGTGCTGGAACGTATCGCCGTACATACCCGACCATCGGCAATAGGGCACCATGCAATGGACTTGCGGGGCGTAAGGGCACAAGGACTCGTGCGTGGCGGCCGATATCACGTATACCAGGTAACGGCAGCCGTTCGGACGGTAAATGCACGACACCTTTATGATGGACATGAACTCGTGCAGCTTGCGGGCCGATTCCGGCGGCGGCAGCGGTCGGACGGCCATCGTTGGCCGTGGACTGTGCGACTGGTGATCTGAGGCCGTCTGGTCCGTTGGCTGTAGCTGCGCTGGTGAGCAGTCGTCCTCCTCCAGGCGGGCGGGCGGTGACCGGCACAGCGGACACTTGGGCGTCGTCTCCGGGTTAAGCCTGTTCATGGTGTACGAGCACTCGTCGCACAACCCGTGCCCGTTGTAGCAGCACGTGGAAATGGCACCGGACAGTTCCTTGCACACCGGACACTCGAGCGCACGGCGCACGGCGTCCGACAGCTGTTGGATTTCGTCCACCGGCGCCGCCCCTTTCCCGCCGCGGACAGCAGGTTCGTCTGCCGATTTGGGCGCAGCGGCGGCACCGTCGCCGGAACACCCGTGGGCCATGGCCAGCATCGGATAGTGGGACTGGCGACACCCGTCCATTTCGCCTTCGCCGTCGTTCTCGTCGTATTCTGCGCAATCACCACGTGTCCACTGGGCGGAGACGGTACTTGGATAAAACGGAAAACAGACACACAAACGCGTTGACGATTCTGCGCCGGACAATATTACAATATATTGTATTAGTGCCGTGTACAATTATTTATTATTATTATACGGTTATTATCGTTGCGATCGCGAGTCAATATCAAATATTTGTACGGCTCGCCGACAGTCGGTCGAGCCGAGTGTTTGTTTTTTTCGAACCATCCCGACTGCATGATCACTGTTGCTGGGTGCACCGCTGCTTGGCGACCGCACGAGTGTTTGGCCGAGTGACGATCCGTCGAGCCGAATGTTATTCGCGCGGAGGGGGGGGGATCGGTAAAATGAAAAAAATTACAAACTCGTAGGTAAAAACTAAAACAAACTGACAAAGCACCGAGTAAACGAGAGTTATACAATAATTATAATTATAATTGTGGGTTACACAATAATAATAATATAATTTACATATTATAATATGATGCCTTGAAAGCTTCTTTTTACATCAAAACGATTAACTGTTACATAAGTTTATGATAAACTGATAAATTGATAATAATATGTCAATCTCTAGATAACAATATTGCAATTGCAGTTATCGGAAAATATATTATTATAATGTGTTTTTGGTAAAATCTTTTGAAGCCTTGAGAACGTTAGACATTTTGGTCGAACGATTGAGAAAATACTATTAGAATTCACGGAGAACTCACTGATTACATAAAAACTGATAAGATTTTTTTTTATTATTATTAAAATTTAATTGTATTTACAATATATATTAATAAATACATTAAATTCCAATAAATTCGATCATGGAAGAATAACTAATACGATTGAGAACGAATTTACGTGCGACGTTGCCTATCATTTAATCGGCCTACAATGATTCAGTTCGTTGAATTTTTTTAAACTGAAATTTTTAGTGAAACGAAAAATAATCACAATGACATAATATTAAATAATAAGTTCAGAATTTTGTATCACATAATATTATATTTATTTTTATGCTTTGGTACCTATAGAAATGCATATTTGACTTTTTCGTGGAATAAAAATTGATATTAGAAAACGAAATTGGCCATTTTTCTAGGTAATCAAACCTTTTAAATGCATACTGAAGGTGAATTTTTATATTTATCTGAACCAGTAGTAAATATCGTGCTCAATCGTTTGATAAAAATTATGAAATATGCTAACTTTGGAAAAAATAAATATAAATTGAGCGTACTAAATCATATAAGAAATCATTGCGGTGTAGGCTATAAATATCGTAACAAAAAACATTGAAAAATCTTTAAAAATCGTCGATAATACTGTCTTGGTTGACAGTTAGTTAAATTTAATATTTAATGTACCTACTTTTATGCTAACTATTATGTAGAAATTTAAAATCAATTGTTCGTGGTTTTTAATTGTATAAGATAATTGGATCATTATTTTATATGACTAGAAATGTATTGAAAACTATTGCTATACTTTACTTAAGATAATCAGACCATTTTAAATGTATGGATCTGTTATATCCTCAAATCGTTACTAACATACGTGTTTTGCACCTGATATAATATGACTTAAAATATTTAAACCAAAACAAATGGTACTGATAGTTAGTTTTAGTTTTGACATAGGTACAAAAAACTGACTTAAGACATTTATACCATACACCAAATAAGTAATTCCGTTCTTAATCGCTTAGTTCCAAATAATTCTGGACCGATAAGTGACCATGTTAACTAGGTGCGATTCGAGTGAGCATGTTTTTACCGATTTCCTATATAATTTCGTGATAATTACGTTGACAACCAATAACAGTACAGACATGGAGTAATTTTGTAAATAACTATAAAATAGTAAAAACTTAAATTTGTAAATGCTTTGAAATGCATTGAGTTGACGTAGGTACTCTTAATACATTATTATAATTTAAAATATACCATGTTGTCAGTGCTCATTATTATAACGTGTATGTCATACTCAATAGACCCTGTAGAAACACTGTTGTTTATCTTATTTTTCTGCTGTTTTAAATTCAGTTGTTTTTATTCAATATTATCATAATTGGTATTCGTTACCCCTAGCTTGTATCCACCCCTATACATTCGCTGCTCGTAGTCATTCCCGAAATTCAGCCGTTTATCTATTTTATTATTACAATTTAAGGCGCCACTCTTGTTATTATGTTTACCTTTATATAATATAAGTATAGATATATAGATATAACATATATACGCACTATGCGCGCCGCCGTCAGCCATAAAGATGAACGTAATTTCCTCGAACGATTTTCGCACGAACGATTTGTATTCTAATGCCACGCCAAGTCCATACAACGTTTCGATGGGTTGGCTATCACCGTTTTTTTTTAAATATATTTTTCTCACCGTTTGGTCTTACAATATTATAAGATTATTTGTTATAACATTGAGATTAGTGGCGAACTATGAAAAAAAATTCGACCAGTGATAACTATTTTACCAGCCCTCAAGTTTGTTTTGTCCTCGCTATAGGTAGCTTTTTTTTTTTAAGGCTTAAATGCATGCTCGATTCGAAGTTTTATAGAATATGTTGCCCTCAAATTAGTTATTATTACTAATTAAAATAATAACTTATATTTTAAACTAACCCAGATATCATTATGTAATGATAAGATTATAATATTATTATAATAACGTTAAAAATTGATGTCTGGAAAGTAGAAACAGAAAATAATATTCAATCTAATAAAGATTTAGGTAGATCCATAGTTTCGTTTAAATTGTTATCAAATTAATTGCTCTTATTCTTAGCAATATCCATATTAATGTATTCAACGTAAACTTAATATTTAATATATTTTTCTGTACAACCATAAGCAGCAGTCACTCTAGTTAGTTATTGTTCATATAATATTGTGTGTACTGTCACAGCCCAACGTGGAAAGTCCTAATATCTTGCCGCCATAGTCCACCACTGATTATGATCCAAGTAGGTATGAACTTAAAGCTTATTCGAAGTGAATTTGTGAAAGGGACAGGTTAAACGTCTGCACTTGCCAATGTACTATACGATAATAATAAAAATTTGTTTGTCATAGAATTGCTCGCTTGAAGAATGGTTGAAAGAAAATAATTTATTGTGTGATTCTCAAGAGCAGTGATGATTTTCTAAAGAAATAAACTTGATTGAATTAACAACGAAATTCTCACTTAACTTTAAAAAGTTATAGTTTCTTGACAAACAAAATTGTTTACTAATTTGTTGTTTGAAACTCGTAAACGACAAGACAATACTATGGGCAATTCTCGTATTATATGATTTGAAAAACTGGCATTCATTGTTTTAATATTAAACCATAAAACTTCAGCAGTTGTAGGTGGGTACTTTTATACGCCACTATAACTTTATATCAAGCAAAGGAATCCAATATAAGATAAATAACTTTGGTAAGGATCAACAACGGTATTTCCGGTCTCCATATAGGCAGTGTTTAGCTATGTGAGGAAAGGGTGGGTGGAGGTAACCAATAACCATACTCCACAACCACAAATTGTATTAGTTGGTCTGTCAACGTGTGCTTCGACAATATTCGTATATTTTCGTTAACACTTTGGAACTATATACGTGTCTAATCTGCAGTTTGAATCTTTGTCTAGGAACAATCACTATAGTATACCTATATTGTTATATAATTAAAGCACCCTGAGCGAAGTAAATCGTATTTTGGTTAGTCCCGCAAAAAAAACAGACTTAATATTTATTCATCTAAATAAGTCATATAATAGTCATATAATCAGGAATTTTCTAAATGCCTATAGGCAAATAGTCAAACGATTTAATTTGTATGTGATTTTACTATCCGCCTAGGCATTTAGTCATATAATCAGACGTTTAAGTAAATGCCTATTAATTCAAGTCAGGAAAATAGTTAAAATGAAACTTTTTTGTATCATTCTAAAAATTAAACTATATGACATTGGACATGTAGAATGTATAGTATGCACTATTTTAAACTTTGTATCCTACGGTACTTGTTGTATTAAAACTTAAATTATTATATTATTATAAATAAATATAGGTAGGAAATATTACTAATTAAGTATGATAGTAAGAGTGTAAAAAATTACATGATAATTACAAATTGTTTAGTCATATAGTTGTATCATATTTTTTTAAATATTATAATACCTTAATGTCTAGATGGAATCGCACGAAAATCAAATTCTTTGACTATTTGCCTAGGCATTTAGTAAAGTGCCTGATTTGACATATGCCTACGATAATATATCGATGACAAGATAAATAATTGATCTGACATTAGTACTTGTATGACCCCAGTTGTTCACTATAATAATTGTTTGGTCTCAAATCAATTTTAATTACGAACGAGAGAGTTATAATACCCATGATATATGTCTTTTGTATACTTTCTGTTTAGATATAATATAATATTATCAATGTCAATTTGTTATGATATCGATACCCAGTTTTTTTTTTTTAAATTGTATTACGGAACTTTTAGCAAACATCGATATTGTATTGTTATTAACTTGTTTCGGTATGCATTTCAGTTCAATAAAAGAACACAAATATATCTATGCCATCCAGTGGGATATAAGAATTAAAACAAATTATAATATTTTAATTATAATCGTTTAGTGAAAATTAATATAACACGTATGACATTATTTTAAATTAAAAACAATATTATAACGAATCATGATTTAATTGATTCGTTTTCTTTATATGTGGGCACACACGTCCAGATCGGTTTCATTAATTATCATTACATATAGTATCGCGGAACACAATTTTAATACGATTCTATTATAGTGGATTGAGTATCGATATGCCGCCGTGGCATCAACCTTTTTGCGTTCGACGAAAATAAAAATCAATCCATTGCCTGATGCTTTACACGTAATGCGTAATATAAATTCCATGTAGGTACTTATACCGTATTGTATCACGGACGATCG